GAAATAGGAGAGTGTAGCTTACTTACATGGTCTTCCATCTACTCCTTAATTTATGATAGTTATATTTTTATTTTTAGTTCTTTTTTGGTTACTTTATGACTTTAAATAATATGCTTTAAATCTCTGTTATTTTATCAATTCTAGGGTACATCCCTTCAGTTTTTATTGTTGGTGTAGGAAAGTGAGCTTCTGTGTTGTATTTTAAGATTAATGTATTAGAGTCATATTTATTGTATGCGTAAAATTTTTTTTACAAGGAATGCTTTAGTTATCTTAAGGGAATGCCTAATTTTAAGAGAATCTGCAGAATCCTTTTATATTTACGTTTTAGAGCAATATCAGGGAAGCCATAACAAGTTGATTATTAGCAGGTGAGTAGGCAAAATCCCATGAAAACTGTAGTTTAGAACTTTAAGTGAACACAGTTTCTCACACACACTCAAAACTAGTAAAAAATTTTTTGTCTTAAGGTGACAAGTCAACACTCTTTGTAACTTCAAAGACGAACTGCTCAATATTCTTGGAAATTTCTTTGCTCTTCTTAGCAAACACTTAGAAACTCCCCTTTATGATGACAAGGTACAGAAAAAGTATAGAGTTAACTTAAAATTTATTGCCACTGGTATATAAATATTTGCTAGCCTTTCCTTATCTACCTAACAAATTGAATGGCTAGCTCACCTTTCAAGTTTTCTTATTAAACGAATTGAAGCCAGTATGGAGATTCCTCAAAAAATTAAGGATAGAACTACCATACGATCCAGCTATTCCACTGCTGGGTATTTATGCAAAGAACGTGAAAACACCAATGCATAAAGATCCATGCACTCCTCTGTTCATTGCAGCGTTATTCACAATAGCCAAGACATGGAAGCAACCTAAGTACCCATCAAGGGAAGAATGGATAAAGAAGATGTGGTATTTATACACAATGGAATACTACTCAGCCATAAGAAACGATGAAATCCAGCCATTTGTGACAACATGGATGGACATTGAGGGTATTATACAAAGTAAAATAAGTCAGAGGGAGAAGGTCAAATACCATATGATCTCACTCATTAAGTAGTAGATAATAACAACAAACAAACACATAGAGACAGAGATTGGATTGGTGGTTACCAGAGGGGAAGGGAGGGGGAGGAGGATAAAGGGGATAATTAGGCACATGTGTGTGGTGATGGATTGTAATTAGTATTTGGGTAGTGAACATGAGAACATGATGTAATCCATGCAGAAATAGAAGTATAATGATGTACACCTGAAATTTATACAATGTTATAAACCAATGTTACCACAATAAACAAACAAAAGAAAAGAAAAGAAAAGAAAAGAAAAAAACGAATTGAAGCTTGTGACATTCAAGGCAGTCCTGAGTGAAGGTCATGCAACTTGTATTTTGTTTTCCACACTACTGTGATGAAAATATCAGTGCTTTTTCTCTTTCCTCTTTTCAGTTCCTAAAACCCGTTAGCTATTTTTACTTTTTACTTCGTGTTTACTTTTTTTTACTTTTACTTCATCAAGGTAGATAATATTTGTATTCTATTTTGTAGCTATGTCCTCTGTGCTTTGTCTATAGGTCAATTTTAGAAGTTAAAAAACGATAAACATGACTATGTAGCTGTTTTTCATCCAAGAGCAAAGTAGTGGGCTAGAATTCCATTTCTTTGCCGCGATTCTGATGTGGTCCTTATGCCGTTTAGGGGAGGATGTTCCTAATATCATGGCCAAATGGGTTAATTTTTCTTAAATTTTATTAAATGTTTAAAACCATGTCACATTTTAGTTTGCTTCATATTTAGACCTTGAATTTCTTGTTCATTTCCTGGAATTTCAATAACTTTTTTTTTTTCTTGTTGCCATAATATGCAGTCAGCATATCCTTAAAGTTATTTGGTTTCTTAATCACACTGTTCATTATGTTGAATCCACCTTCTATCCAGAGGCATCCCTCTTGGGGCCTCCATCCTTCTGCTTCAATCCCTGCTGGTTTCTCTGCTGTACGACTCTTATTCTGGGACTTTACTCCATTCCTGAATTATTACCGCTGTTTTCTGAATCTTGTGTTTTTCTCCTTCATGATTTACATCCTCATTTTGCTGGAGAACATGCTTTAGTATCTTACTCAGAAACAATATGTAGGAGGCAAATTTTCTGAGCCCTTGTTTGCTTAACTTTACTTTCACTTAATTGGTAATCTGGCTAAAATTCTAGTTTCAAAATAATTTTTGCTTATAATTTTAAAATCAATGTTCCATTGTTTTCTACCATTCAGTGTTGCTGATAAGAAGTCTGATGCCAATCTAATTTTTGTTCCTTTGTAAGTGTTCAGTTTTTATCTTTGGAAATATTTAGGATTTCTCTTGAAATTGCACAATGATGCGTTTAGGTATGGGCTTTTTTTTTTTTCCCCCCATTCTTTGTGCTGTCTACTTTATGGGATATTTCAACCTGAAGATTTCTTCTTCAGTTTGGAGACAGTTATTTCTATTATTTATCTGATTATTTTATTTTGTTTTCTCTATTCTCTCTTTCTGGATCTGTTGTTAGTTGAGGGTTGTAATGCAGAGATTTCTTCTCTCTTTCTCTTATTTGCTCAAATTTTCTACCCCTTTATCTTTCTGTTCTAAATTCTTTATCTTTTAGATCTTCTATTGCATTTTTAATTTTAGCGATCACGTTTTTAATTTCCAAACATACTTTCTCGTTCTTGGATTGTTTTGTTTTTCACAGCATCTTGCTTTATAGATAGAATATTCTTCTTGGATGTGTCTGGAGCTGCTAATTAGTGTTTTCTTCAAAATTCTCTTCTGTGTCCTGACTTATATGTTTCTTCCAGCCCAGGTTGTTCTATTTTTGTCATGCATGTGTTTGTGTATTTGTTGCTGGTTTTCTTCACACACCTGGTGATCTTGGTTGCTGGCGTGGATTGCCTGCTGCAGTGTCTGTGGATCTGTTTCGCTGATGGGGCTCTTCCTTCATGGGAAAGCTGACTGCACTGCATTTGTGAGTATGGCTGGTTCTTGAGGTGGCTTCATTTGGGGTGCAGACCTCCACACTAGCAGCCCTGGTTTTCCTTGGACGGTTTATTCAGATCCTCTAGAGAAGCATTCCAAGGCTTTCTTTTCCTCCCCTTTCATGCTGTATCATTTTCTCCATTTCCTGTTCCAGACATTTGTGGAAACCTTTCATCTACTCGAGGCTCCCCCTCCCAATCCTCTTTGCTTATAGGCATGTGTCCATTTCTCCCTTTTACTTCTCTTTTAATAGGATCTTGGGAGGGAGGGGAACAATAGGAAAGAAAATGTGCTTAACATGCCATTTTAAACAGAAAGCCCTTTAAAAATTATTTTCCCTTGTTTCAAAATGATCACTGTGGAAAATTGAGAAAATATAGATAAGCAGTAAAATAAAAAAAGATCTGTTTTCCATCACCCAGAAATAACATTGTTAACATTTTAAAATATGTTCTAGTTCCTTTTTCCTTTTTTCTATGTGTGTATTTATCTGTTGTTGTTTTTTTTACAACAATGGGATTATACCATATGTTCTGTTTTCTAATATGCCTCTGAAAATGAAACAATAGCTTTTAAATATCTTTCCATGTCACAACACATCCCTGACAGTATGGGAGACCTGGTATTTACTGACAAATGCATCATCACTTATTTTGCCAATCCCCTATTTTTAGACATTAGGTAGTTTCTGATTTTCACTATTATAAACAAGCATTTATAAACACTTTTGGCTAAATCTTTACTCATATCCTTGACTAGTTACTTAAGATAAAATCCTAGTAGTGGAATGGCTGGGTCAAAGTATATGCAGCTCCCAGTCTTGGTCCTACATTCAGGCTACTCTTCGATATGGCTCCACTTTGATTTTCTGGCCCCAACCTTTCACTTTACTCCACTTTCCTTGAGCTCCCTCAAGCATTATAGGAGAGGCCTTAAGAGCTTAATTTTCAGAGTCAGGCAGACCAGGGTTGAATCCTAGCTTTGCCACTTACTAAATGTGTGACCTCAGGCTATTTTAATTAACCTCTTTGAGTACTAGTTTCCTTTTCTATAAAATGGGGGTAATAATTCTCCTTTTCTGATTTGGTGGTTGTGAGGATTAAACAAGATGAAAAATGCATGGAAAGCACTTAGCACAGGCCCTGTCAGGTTGAAAGTGTCATAAATCCATAATGATGGAGTTAGACCCGTTCCCCTCCCTAAGCCTGTGCAAATCTTCCTTCAAGGCCACCTTCAAGACGCACCCACCCCTCCGTGAGGCCAGAGTTGCAGAGCACTTGTGGGCTGGACCGCATTTGATGTTCAGATCACGTGTTCTAGCTGCTTTCCTCTGTGTGTGTGTATGGACAGAGGGGCCATCCCCTCCTCACCATCCCACGCTGTGCTCTCCTTCCCCTCCCTGTCATGACTAATTACTTTTCATGAGTGTTCTTGGAGAATAGAGGCCATGATGAAGAAGAGCTTGTGACTCACTGTTCCTAGCATGGGGATTGTTCTTTGGAGTTTGTTTAGAACCCTTTGGTTGCTCAGGAGCTTTGAAAGTGGTCTCTGGCTCTGACTGTTGGATGGAACCTCCCCCCAGGATACCTGAACCCCTGTAGAGTCAGTGGGCAGCAGAGGCAGGAACTTGACTAAGGCTGAACCTCTCCAGGGTGTTTCCAGCAAGAAGGCAGAGCTCAGCATATTGCCCTGGGACCTTTGTGCTGCCTACCAAACCCCCGCCACCCTCATTACTTTGCACTGGTCCATAAGATGCTTTTGTACGCAGTAGGGCTTTCCTGTGAGCATCACCCAAACCACAAAGGTCCCTTTCACACCCCATGGATGCTTCCCCAGTTGCCAGGGGAGATTGAGAAGCATGGTTTGCAGAGCTGCAGATGGGAGGGCTTGACAAGGGATGGCTTCCAGGAGATGGCCCTGTAGGGGAAGATGATTCGTAGAGTGCGCAGCTCACCCCTCTCCCATTTGGGTGTCTTGCAGGAGTCATGGCCGGCTTCAACATGGGGGGCGACCTCAGAGAGCCTGCTGCCAGCATCCCCCTGGGCTCCCTAGCAGCTGTTGGCATCTCGTAAGTTCCCCTCACGGCAATCTGCTGGAGAGGGGAGAAAACCCGGGGCAAAAGAGCGGATTGCTCCTTTTGTTCTGAGAGTGCCCCAACTGTGACCAATCTATTTCATATTCCAATCCTCCTTTTAACACTCAGCCGGCTGGAAAATTCACGTCTGGTGGGTTCAGACGATTGCCCTTTCATACCTCCTGCCTGGGAATGCAGAGAGGAGGGGTGTCATTACACGCAGATCGCAGATCTCAGATCAGATCCTTTCTTCCCTTTCTCCTCAGCCTCCTGCCGCTCTCCCTCCCCACCCCCATTTTGAACTTGGGGATTTTTTAACCATTGAGTTTCCAGGATCACTGGAGGGAGCATAAAGATGAAGAGTTTTGCAATCAGACAGATTAGGGTTTGCATCCCAGCTCTGCCGCCCATTGGCTGTGTGACTTTGGGCAATTTACTTAGCTCTCTGAGCCTTCCTTTTGTTTTCTGTAAAATGAGGATAATGAGATATGTGGGCCTCCTAGATGGTGGAGGAGACACTGTGTGTAAGGTACATGGTAGGAACTCAGAGACTGGTTCCTCCTTCCCCCAGCTAGCCTCCCTGGCACCTCCCCACAAGGCTGTCAGTCTTCTTCAGTTTTATTTCACACTGTGCTGCCCACACTAGCAGGCTGGGTGGCTTTGGGTCTGTTTCTGACCTTCTAGAATCTTCTGTTTTTCTCTCTGTACCATGAGAAGAAGCTTCTCTGCCTTCACTGGGTGGGTGTGAAAGGCAATGAGATCACAGATGTGACAATGACTTGAGAAGATAAAAGTGCCTGTATTATTTTCACCGTGATATTTAAAAAATATTAATATATCTATTTCACAAATGCTGAATTTGCTCTTGGCTTGCTGTAATGGCACCGTTGCTTCTAGCCAGGCACACAGCACCAGCCTATTTTGTGCTAAATAAGGCAATCCCATTGGGAAGAAAATGAAGCCAAGAGAGAATTGGGTGGTGGAAAGGAAAGAAATGAAAGAATCCTGTCTTGTTTCTAGTCATAGCTGGGACGTCCTGGGAGGAGCTTTTGTCTCATCCTCTCGCTGCCCAGATGGGAATGAGGCCACTGGGATCATGTGACTTGTTCAAGGTCACAGGGCATCTGGGGGCAGAGCCAGGTCACTGCTGGCCTTTTCACACTTGGCTTGGCTCTCTGTCATCTAGGATCCAAGGAACAGCAGGACTTAGAGGTCTGAAAGATCATCAGCTTGTTCTTCAGCTGCAGGACGATGGGGTGTAGGGCTGCAGGTCAACCCTGCCTGAATCCTGGCAACCTAGGGGCCAGCTGGGCTTCCCCCTCCCCCACCCCAACACCCTTTGTGTGTTTTTCTTCTTTATTGAAAGAGACAAAAACAATGATACCTTTTTTTTTTTTGGCAAGAAATATGCTAAGGAGACATAGTACCAAAAGTGCCCCCCAGACGAGCTAGGGAGGCTTCCTGACTGGCCTTTCTCTTTCCTTTTGAGACAGGTCCCCGTGGGAACCCAAAGGCAGAGTGGGGTGGGTTGGGATGGGGTTGGCCGAGGTTGGGGAGCAGCTCTGCTCCACTCTTGGGTTTTCTGCAGGTGGTTTCTCTACATCGTCTTTGTCTTTCTGCTCGGCGCCATCTGCACCCGAGAGGCCCTTCGCTATGACTTCCTGATAGCTGAAAAGGTGGGTGAGTTCTGCACTGTCCGAAGGGCTTAGGCTGCTGGTGTTGCCTCCCCCTTGCAGTCCTGCCTGGGAATCCATATTGTCTTGGGCCAGGACTGAGGTACAGGGGGGTAAAAACATGGAAAAGGTACAGGTTCTTCTTATGGATCCCTAGAAACAGGTAACAACATCTGGAAAAGCACATGCACACAGGTGACTAATAAAGGGGACACAACCATCTCTTTGTGTCGAAAATCAGGACAGAAACAGAATCTGGTCACCTGAAATCCCCAGCTCAACCAGCCCTTCATTTTTGCCAATAGCCTCACCTTGTACCATGAGCAGAGAGTGCTGCTCACAAGAAGCAGGCAAGAAGGAGGAGGCTGATGGCTAGAAAGGAGGGTGGCAAGGTGGAGGGAGATAGAGGAAGCCCAGTGCCAGAGTGAGGGCCTGGGGGAGGCGAGGCAGGAGGCCCCTTGCCCTCTGAGGCCCCTCACCCCTCAGGCTCTCCCCTTGGGGTGGGCCGGTTGATTTGGCTGTAACATCTTTGTTTCTAGGGCTGTACACTCTGCCCCAGAGAAGATTAGCAAATTCCTTACGTTCCATGGATGCCCTTTAGCAGGCTGGAGGTCACGGGACAGTCAAGGACACTCATTTGGCATCTCTAGAACCCAGGAGAATAAGATTTCCAGATACTTTTCTGGAAATCCCTAAAAACTCCTACTTTCTTGTAAGTTTCTGGAGGAAAAGTGGACCCTGAGATTCCTGTCATTTATCAGAGAAATGGAGTAGGCGAGGGAGGTTTTCTTACTCAGTTAACTCTTAAGTATCATGGCTCATATTTTAGGAGAAACTACGCTTTCTCTTGGTGTGAGGTCTTGCAAAACAGCCTTGCTGATCTTCATGGAGGGCAACCTGGGGCAGGAAACCTGAACTTACTTTTTAGAGCTACATTAGGGCTTGATTATCACATTAGCACAGGTTTCTTTTTCAGGCATGTAGATACTGATGTAAAGGTGAGGTTTGTTTTCAGGGGTCTTGACCTTACCTGAAAGCAGGTTTTGAAAGAGGGAACAGTTCAGGTAGTGAGAACGCTGACATCCCCTTCCAGGGCCCGAGGTCTTAGGCTCCTAGTGAGCAAGGTTTGCTCTCAGGGAAGGAATCTATGGCCCTCATTCATACGTACATGCATGCTTCCTTCTCGACTGTCATCTCCCAGGGGCCTCTTCTCCAATTGTGGAATGAAGAGCTTGGCTGCATTAAAGGAATTAAAGGCCTCAGGGAGCAGCTGGCCCTTTGACCAGGGAGCTGCTTGCTGCTGTCTGCAACTTGCCAGGGGCTAGCTAGCACTGCCTGCTTCTACGGCTGGTTCCTTTCTAGTGGATTCCCTCACAGAGGTCCTTTCAACCATTCAAGACTGTGATCTGGATGGAACAAGGCAAATTATCCCCAGGGCTGGAGCTCCTTTCTCCCCTCCTTCCCCTGCTTTGCAGGGATGCTAAGAATGGGTATGTGGGAGGGCAGGCAGCCTGTGTCCAAGGAAGGCCACAACAGCAAGAGAGCAAAAACATCTCCAGTGACAGCATGGGAGAGCCTTTGTGGGTGGAAATTCCACGGCTAGTAATAGACATATGAACTGGGGGAAGCTTGTTTGGAACGCCACCTGTCCCAGACAGTGACCCAGGTAGGCAAGCACTTAGCCAGTGGGGGGCACCTGCTAAACCAGGCCTGGCAATAATATGTAGGAATGTCATTACGCACGCACCAGGATGAGAGGTGGAAAGTTAGTTTTTGGAGAAGACAAGAGACTGTTTCCTGGAATAGGCCGTTGTAAAGCCTGTGAAGAAAGAAAACATACTGTTCTTGGTTCTCGGTAGCAAACAGGGGCTGGTGCAGCAAGTAAGTGAATAGTGATGGAACCAACCACGGCAAGTCCAAAACAGCCACGCCCTGGTGTGCTGTTGCCCGCCATGGTCCCCCAACAAAGGAGGCCATGCAGGATTTTCCCCACAAAGCCTTGACCCTTGGCTTTTCTCCTTTCTTGCTCTCTGGTGTCCCTTCTTGGGCCTGACTCGGCTGCAGTAGCAGGTACTAAGGCAGTGAGCTGGGCCACCAACAATTTTACTAACAGTGCCTGGAGAATGGGAGGGTGCAACGGATAGAGGTTGGAAGGTAAAAGTTCACAGTCTCCTTCTGTGGTCACTTGACACAATCTACCACCCTAATGTGGTTTTAGTAAACTGTTCATCTCAACTTCCTGTCTTTGCTATGGCCTTGGTCTGAGCCAGCCCATCTCTTAGCTTTCCAGGGCCCTGAGGAAGCAAGGCCTCTTCCGGCTGGTCTGTGTGCCCTGAGGGTCTCGCCTCCAGGCACAGACCAGGCCTGGCCTCCAGCATGCTCCCCTTGGCGCTGGTTCTCATGAAGCTCCTCAACTCGCTTCTCTCTCTTTCTCTCCAGCGCTTTCTGCCAGAACAGTTACCTTCCATGGCTACCAGCTGTCCTGGATTCTTTTCCACTGACCTGCAGCTGGTTACTTCATCTGTTTCTTTCTGGGTTTCCTGTAGCTTCTCTAATCTATTTCTAATCATTTGGCTTCCCAGCCCACAGTTTCTCTAAGAAGTTTCTTTTTAACTAATGTTCATAGCCTAGAGGAACTTTTTCCTGGCTTTTGGGTGTCAGTTTCAGTAATATTATGCTTTCTAAAAGATCTTGAGTACATTGTGGTGGCTCTGAAGGAATCTATGTGAAGCCCAATACCTGGCGCACAGTAGGTGCTTATTAAATTCTGACTCCCTTCCACACTCCTTACGGGGATACCCATATAGATAGAGACATTTATTTGGGGGACACATTTTTTCCCTATTTTTTCTATGTTTAACTGAATAAGAAAAACCAAAATAGTCAATCTCAATATCATTCAGTTATAGAAAAAGGAACTGTATAAAGAACAGGTGTTAGTAGGAGAAAATTAAATAGATTGAATAAGTGTTTCAAAATAAGCTTGTATACAGTCCAGGAGAAAATGTTTATTACACACCAAAAAGACCAAGGCCTTTAGGAGGCCTGGGGCTTGTTAACTAGTAAAATAACAACAAACTAAATAGGAAAAGTACCCTAAAAGCATCTTTGTTAAAAATGAGGTATCCCAAACTTAAGATTGGCAACAGATGTTAGCTCAGGGCGAATCTTCCTCAGCCAAAACAAAACGGGGGGTATCCCACAGAGTAGGTTCTAGTCGTTCTGAGAATTGACAGTCATGGTTTCACATGTTCAAGGGGGGCCTTGAAAGCCCATGACACAAGCTGTGCTTGGGAAGATGGGGGTGGGGCAGGGCTCGCGTCTGGTGAGTGAGCCTTGCCCGCTGCTCAGCATCCACCGCCCAACCCAGCCTGACTGTCCTCGCTCTCTGTCATGGACACAACGCTGTGCCAACTTTGTTTCCTTATGGAAAATGGCTATCAAGTGAGAGGGAAAAGTTGACTGAAAATTGAGATGTTGGTCAATTTGTGGAATGAGGACAGTGTTAATGAGGACAGTATTAGAAAACTCATGTCTGTGGAAATATGATGTGGGAGAAGACTAGGGAACTGTTGAGACATTGCTATGTTAATAAATTTGGGATGGGGAGGGTTTCAGGATATACTCCTCAGTAATGTCAAGAGACCACAGGATTTAGATGCGGCAGAATGAGCACCTTGCAAATGACTTTAAATTCAGTCCTTCAAGAGAAGGGAGCAGCCAGTGGATTGGTGGGATCATTTAAAGACTGAAGCTCCCAACGGGATCTGGGATAAAATACCAAGAGCATGGGGCCAGCCCGGTTGCACAATGTTTAGGTTCATGAGCTCCGCTTCCGCGGCTTGGGGTTCGAGGGCCTGGATCCCTGGCATGGACCCACGCACTGCTCATCAAGCCATGCTATGGCAGCGTCCCACATACAAAATAGAGGAAGATGGGCACAGATGTTAGCTCAGGGACAATCTTCCTCACCAAAAAAATAAAAATAAAAAAATTTTAAAAATTAAAAAATACCAAGAGCAGAGATGGAATTAAAGATTTTCATCAGTAGTTACTAAAAAATAAATTAGGGTAGTTCACACTCCAGATAATATTTTGGAAAGATAGAGAACTTGGTGATGACTCAAACAGGTATATGACAGAAGGGCACCTTTTTTTTTCCTCCTAAAGAATAGCTGACACACATTTGCTCAACTAAATTCTCACTTCCACCTCCACTGGCACAGTTAGCAAGTTTACAGTTCCATATGAGTAGAGAAAATGATTAAATTCTGCAAGGGCCGGGAGCAAAGCTGTGTACTTTACTCTTGTACCTAGATAGCCGTGCCCTGTGCCTAGCACTGGGCCAGGTATGTAACCTGTCCTCAGTAAATGCTCCCTACATGGATGGATGGATGACAGGAAGGAAGAGACAGGATTCAGGTGGGAGAGAGACAGAATGGAGTTTTTATAATTTATCCAGACATGAGGGTCAACATTTCATGTATTTTTCAGAAAATTGACAGAGTAGTAGTTTTATATAAAAGAGTGGCAAGTGAACAGGCCATTCTAAACACAGTTGACAAACTGGACATGTCCATTATGCCTGGACAGTCCCTCCTCTGGCCCCCAGCCAAGGGTTCTGCAGGAATCCCAGGGACTGTTTGTGGTAAGGCTGGCCAAAGATGGAAGTCACGGTATCATGGCCTCATGGTGCCAGAGACTCATCAAGTTCCTGAGGTCAGTTCCAACAGTAGAAGAACGCCAGACTGGGCAGTCTCATTCCCACTGTGAGTAAACGGACAGGCTTTAAATGAAAAATGGGGTTTTGTCTGACTCCAATATATATAACCTTTTGGGTAAGAAGTAGTAACATTTCTGCAAGGAGATACCATGCCTGACTGTCCTAGAGAATTCTCTGAGGGGAGAATACAGTGGATACAATGGACTACGCCCAGTGGTTCTCCACCCTCACTGCACATTAGAATCACCTGGAGGGCTTTTGAAAAATCAGCAATATCTGTGCCCCACTCTATGCTAATTAAAGCAGAATCTCTGGGGTGATTCTCATGTATAGCCAAAGTGAAGAACTACTGAGTTAGATTTTCAAAAAGCTCTTGATACAGTTTCATAACAGAGTCTATTTTTTTTTTTAACCAGTCAACATAGGATGTGTTTGGTAGAGAAGACAGAAACAAAGGTTATGGATGCATGATCGCATCTCAGAATGGACCAGGGATTAATAAGGGGACCAGGTTATCTAACAATTTTGTAAGATATCCAGGGCACGAATCACAGTGAAGTCGTGAAGCTTCATGAATTCACTTGGCACTTGCTGAGCCCTGATTGCCAGACTCTCTTGGATGTGGTGGGAGGGGGCAAGACGCAGGAGACCCGGGAGTTTATGGTTCACTGGTGAGATAAGCCACGAGCGAGATTAACCACACCACAGGGTAGAAAATAACAAATGCCATCAGAGTACACAAATAAAGTGATGGGAAACATGAGATGACATTAATTTCTTCTAGTAATAAAATGGTAAGAAGAGTGGGGGATGAGATAGACACAAGTAACCTAGGACAATGAAGAAAAGAGGGGAGATTCATGGAGATAAGATGAGATAATGCATTTAGGGAAGAGTTATCCACACTGAATTAGGGACAATGGAGGCTCTGTAGTGGACCTTAGTGTTGTCCATCAAACCTCTGGCCTCCCTGACCATCTGGGTCTTATGCCACCTATGTATGGTTTGAAGGGAGTGAGCCCCATTTAATATTACAGAAGCCCAAATGACCAGACTCTCGCTTGCCTGTCCTTTTGTGGCCCTGGTAGGGCATGTGACCTAGGCTAGGCCCATCGGATGCTCCCAGTGTAATAAATGAGGCAAAGATAAAGGGATGGGGAGAATTCATCTGCAGGCCAGCAGGTTACTTGTACCATCTTGATATTTTTGCAGCGGGGCATTATGATCAGATTTGAGTTTAGAGAGGTCACTCTGTCAGAGGCTTGGGGATGATTCAGTGTGGGCAGAGCTCAGAGGCAGGAGGCCAATTAGCATTGTTGTTGGCCGGTGGTTCTCAAAGTATAGTCCCCAGGCCATCAGCATCAGCATCATTTGGGCACTTCTTGGAAATCCAAATTCTTGGGCCCTACCCTAGACCTACTAAATCAAAAACTCTGAGATGGGCCCAGAAATCTGTGTTTTAACAAATCCTCCAGATGATTCTGATGCACACTCAATTTGAGAACCTCTGTGTAGTCCATACAAGATGTGATGGTGGGCCGAGCTGAAATAGTGGCAGTGCAAATGAAGTGGGGTGGGGCTGGGGATATTGGAAATATATCCAAGAGGTTGAATCTAGAGGACTTATGATTAGCTAGGGTGTCGGTGGGTGCCAGGGAAGAAGAAAGGAACAGAAGCAGGTTCTGGCATTGGATAATGAGACTCCTTCCTTATATAGGTGTCCCTAGTGGGCTTCCTGTTCCTTTTGGGCTTATACATCTCGTCCCTCGCCTCCTGTATGGGAGGCCTCTACGGAGCCCCCCGGATCCTGCAGTGCATTGCCCAGGAGAAAGTGATTCCTGCACTGGCCTGTCTGGGGCAAGGGGTGAGTGACCCTTTCTTTGAGAAGTGTACATTTTGCCACTAACCTGATTGTTGGCCAATAAATTGCTTAAGTCTTTCTGGTTAGAGCCAGTAGTCAAGTTTTCCCCGGGGGAGAAACGAGAATGCAGAGGTCTTTCTTGTCCTCTGGCTGCCTGAGACTGGGGCCAGTTGGACACAGCATCTGTCAGTGTCACCCAGGGCCCTTTAGCACTGGGTTAGCTAACCATCATAGTCATATCTTGGACCCTGTGCAGCAGGGAGAGGGAGTGCCGCATCCTTTAATAACAGTAAATTCAGGATCCTCCAGGTTTAGCATAGAAGTAAAACTCTCTTGGTGAGGAGGGAGGTGGTCTTGCAGCTCTGACTCTGTCCTCAAGATTCACCTTCCCTCTGGGGTTGCTTTAAGATGATTTCCCACACCTCTGGCCTCTGTGCTCCCTGTTATTCATCATGGCCCAAACCCTAACTGACACAGTATAGCTTAGATGAGTCATGGAACGATCAAGTGAGACATTCCCAAAACCAAGGGGATGACCAAGAGAGAAATAAACAGAGAGAACCCCATCCCCAGCCTCTCTCTCATTTGGGGCCACGTATTTGCAAGTCACCCTTAATTCGTCTCTTTACTTTCCTCCACTTCTTATCCATCAGTCAGCCTGGGCTGGGTGGGAGCAATGACTGTTGTCTCTAGTACCTTCCACGTAGTGTATGCCTTTTACTTTAATTTCATTTATTTTTTATTAGGTAATATATGAACAGAGTTCAAAAATTAAAATGATATAAAAGGTATACCCTGAGAATTTTTACTCCTATCATGAGTCTTTCTACTCTTTCCCCACCTGTACTCCTGCCCTATCAGTAGCTGTTTTTATTCGTTTTTTATGAATCCTTCTTTCCTCTATTTTTACACAAAGATAGTGTTCTACATACATTGTTCTATATCTTGCTTTTCTTCATTTAATATAGCTTGGATATCTATCTTTTCATACGGATGTAGAGAGAACTTTCTTATTCTTTTTCTATCATGTGGATATACCATAGTTGATTCAACCAGTTCCCTACAGATTATGTGTCTTCTAGTAAATGGGGCTACAAAGAGTACTCGTGTGTGTGTGTGTGTGTGTGTGTGTGTGTGTATAATTTCGTACATGTGCAGATATATCTATAGGATAATTTTCATAAGTCCGTTTGCTGGGTCAAAGGGTAAATGCATTTTTAATTTTAATAGCTATTGCCAAAATACCTTCCATGGGATTTGCACCATTTGTACTTCTACCAACAATGTATTAGAGTTCCTGTTTCCCCACGGCCAGCACCACTCTTAGACTCGGGCCAAAAGACCCTGCTTTATAGGACTGTTCTAGTCCTTGGGGTAAGAAGTTCATGAGGTGAAGGGGACATGCCTGCTTGGATCCCATGTTCTCCTTCTAGATGGTCCAGGAATGCTGCACCCAGGAATTCCCTGCCCAGATGTCCCCCAGCCCACATCCAGGGTCTACAAGGGCCTCTTCCCTGGGCCTGTCCTCTCTAGGGCTGGGATGTGGGCTGGGAGTCCTCATGTGGGTGTGAGGCCCCCCCAGGGTATAGCCTTGGAAGGGAAGGGGGTGGGCTGTGAGCTGGAGGCTGTGCATGGCCGTCCTCCAGTGAGGAACTCTGAAGAGTGCAAGAATTCTAAACTTGAACCTGGCCTTCCCCATCGTCCTGGAGGTGTGTTTGCCAAGGAAGGAGGAGAGAACATATTTAACAGTTTGTTAGCTTGGTTTATCATTGTAAATATTTAGAAATAGGGCATGTGGACCACCATTTGCACCCTTGCCCGGCACCACAGCGTCAGCAATGGACATGACCACGTTGTTAGCTATAAGCTTTTCCACAGTGATCACAGTGTTAGCAGTGAGCTTGTCTACAGTGTCAGCAATGCGCGTGTCCACGGTGTTAGCAGTGAGCTTGTCCACGGTGTCAGCAATGC